TCTGAGGAAATAAAGATATCAAGTAGAAGTGCATCATATCTATGGCGTGACAAACCTTGTGATAGCCGCGAATTTCGTGAAAAGCGCCCATCCAACCTTCCACTCTGAAGGGAACACGCGGCCCAAGTCCAACTCATGCGTTCCAAGCACACGTCTAAACCAGGCGTACCTCCGGCTGATGTTGTCTAGATGACCTGCTTCGTCTGTGGCACGGAAGATGCGCCGATACTCCTTGAGCTCAAGTGTAACGTAACGGTCAATCAAATGTCTCCGAACGTCGTGGCCTAAAACATCAGCGACAGCACAAGCATCTATGATTTGAGCAGGTTTTGAGGGTTTAGCAGGGTCCTGGAGGTAGCTAAACAGATTCACGACTCAAGAACTCTGCATACTGGGAAATGACTTACAACACGTCGAACTCTGCTTCGAGTTGAGTGCGAATCTCACCCTGAATTTGTTGTACCCGTCTCCAGACCTGGTTAATGCGATGGACGGATGTATAAGGTTTAAAGGAAGCAGATATCTGCTTCACAGCCTACGGACGAGTCAAGAGGTTGCTGCAAAATGAAAAACGGAAACGAACTGCAAGAGTCTGTGAAACGTCTCCGTATCTCTTCTCTTTCGCTTGGTCTTCCAATTGTGTCAGAGCATTTGCTGTGAAAGATTAACGGGAATATTTGCGATAGCAATGCCAAGGAACATACCCAACATCTGCAGGCGTTTGAGTGTCGTCATACTGAGGATGAGGTTCTTCTTTGCCAGGTCAAGAGCCTGAATATCCTTCGTGATATCGCGCACAACAGCCTCGGATTCCGTCGCTTTCTCCCGAATGCGTGACATTTGCCCAAGGAGGTCCTGTAATAACACTTCAATAAGGACTCTAGTAGTTGGACTGGCAGGTATACCGAAATCATTTCCTGAATCATCTGCATACGGTTTGGATCTTGGTCACGTATCAGCTCTTCCTTGAGTTTATCAATTTCGCCTTGCAAGTCGCGTTCATTTTGAGACAGTCTCGCTTGAACGGTTTCTAGCTGGCTCAGTGAGGCCTCTGTACCTTGTTCAGTGGGCACAATTTACACCTCGATACGTGACATACCATCTGGGAAAAGCTGGTTCAGCATATCTAGTGGATTAAACTCATTAGACAGAACATCAAGGGGATCGTTCCGGTTCTCTGGATCGAGCTCGAGGATGCGTTGGATCGCGACGACGACCTCTTGAGGAAGTTCAGTATTTTCATGGCGTCCATACGTCGAACGTGTGGACATGCGAGGTATACGATAACCTGCAGAAGAGTTGCTGAGAGCAACTGTTCCACGTAGTGTTAAGGGCAACTAGTAGCCAAATTGATTGCTTCCGGTTCAAACAGAGTTTGCCAAATTCAGCGACTTGAACTCCCGTGATATCCTTAACTTTCTTCCTCGAAGATGGTGCTTGACACCAATGACTTCCACCATAAGTCCCAGTAGTGACACCCGCAGCCAGGTTATCTCCACCTACCACGACCATCCCAGATTCATTTGTGTGAGCTGTTCAGCGGTGCTGGTGCGTGATCATGACGGTGTTAACAAGGCTACTAAGCCCCACATTCATGATGCATCTTCAGGCGTTGCAGGATGAACTTATTAGCAAGTCTTTCTCAGGCAGAGAAGGAAGAGGCTTGTCAGTGACACATCATTCGATTGCATCACCAGAATGAGTGACGTGCTTTTTGCGATGGGCCAGCCTCATGCACTCAGTAACCAATGTGAAATTGGGAAAGAAAGAGGATCGACCACTTCTGTGAGTACGCAACCCTTGATGTTCGTCCCTTTTGACCATTTCTTATGTTTTAGCACAGGTGTCCATACCGTAGCTGACATCTTCTGCATGGGGTGCAATGACCGTGTTGGATGGTATTATCATAAGGCAGCCGACTTATCTCAGAAGTACAAGGAAGGTAAGTCTTTGTCCAGATCGTGGCTTAATACCATCTTATGTGCTATAGGAAAGTACCTTCTTGAACGCGAGAAAATAGTGAAGGAGAATAACTGGAAATTGGATCAATGAACTGTGACCCTGCAATCATATTTGAAACAGGTGGAGTTTGTGTAAATCGCCATGCTAACACGATTGTCATGAAAACGTACTCTATACATTAAACAGGGATAGCGGGTGGCCCGGTATTGATTGCAGTGTCTTTTGCTGTTCGTGCATGACGACATCGACTCTCTGAACGCGCACATTTCACTGGGCAACGTTGCGGTGACAATAAATGTATGGTCACACGTCCATTCCCGCATTGCTAGTTCTTTTATGCGAATTCACATTCCAAATCAACACGACGAAGAGGTAGCCTCAATATATCACACGTATTCACCATTATTGTTTAGCCAGCTTCAAGCTATCCACGCTTCTACCGGTGGGCAAACATTTTGTCGTGTAGGGCACTATCTTACGCCTCGAAAGTCACTGAACTCAAGGAGGATCACATGCAAATTGACGCGCTTGGATAGACTTCAGGTATCCACCTCGCCATCATCACAGGCGGACATGTCTCCCAAGATTATGGCACGCGTCTTTTCTGCGTTATACTTTCTGTTCAGAGTCTAGCGGTCCCACTGCTTCTTTCGAGCTACTTACCACCTTCGCTCTGCCCCTTCGAACATGTCTCAGTAAGTGTTGCTGTGAAATGTTTTGCAGCTATGCAGCCTGGCACGTTGTCATTCACACTGACGACCACCGTGCGATAGCTGTCCTCTGCAGGGCCTCGCATGATGGGCTACGAGGTATCGAAAGATTCGATACTTTAGTCCAGCCCTGCAAATACTCACCGGCAAGCTTATTTTCTTTGAGCAGGACTTTGCGGGGTTCCGAAAGGCCCTTTGAAGCGCCCTCGAGGGTGCTTCAGCGGATATCGAGTAGCTTTATAAATGACCCACCAGGATCTCAATATCTCGTCATCCTAACAAGAGATCATGAGGTTCCGAGCCCAGCACGCACTGCCAGTGGAAAAAGAACGTATCTTCTTTCATATCTGCACTCATTCTATTACAGACTCCTACCCAAGGCTTTGATCTCTACGAAAATGGTGCCAGTGCAGCCAGAATCCATTCACCAATACTACATAAGAGCTAGTGCCGTTGGCGGAAATCGGGCCGGTCTGCAAAATTTGTTGTGCCTGGCCCACGGCATGGAAGTTCGAACAGGTGCAAGGGGTGGCAGAACAGCCTGACAGAACTCAAAATATAATTGATGAATTCCGCAATAGAGCACAAAACTGAAGCAAGTCGACTCAAGTACTGACTCTACACACCATGTGTGAGTCACAGTCTGTCGACTCTGGCCCAAATAGCAGAGTTGAGACCCAACATGCATCTGGAAGAACTTTCCTTCTCTCAGTGCGCAGAAAGTGGGTCAGTGGCCCACGTCATGCATCATAGCAGGCTCATGTTTTTTTTTACTCGGACTACCAACTTACATCAAGCCGACCTCCGAAAAAATAGCTTCATAATCGATATCATATCGATATGGCCCGGTCATCCGATCAACTGCTTTCATCACAGATTTCGACGAATCACGGGTGAGAGGTGATCAAGCCGGCGCCAGCTGACGCCCTAAGCATCCGTCGACAGCGGCTACCGTGACTAACTAGGACCAAGATCAAACATGTGGTGCTAGTGGATGCGACACGGTGGTAAGACAACCATGACAGCGCCGCGGATAGATGTAGATTGAAGTCCAGGGAATGGTCAAATAAGGCCTATTGGAGGTTCATTCATAGTACGTCGCAATTATATCGCGGTTTGCTCACCGGTAACATCCATGTAGCCTCTCAGATGAGTTCGGTTATCCGAATTTTCCCGTGATTGTAAGATAACGATAATCGATGTAAACCTTGCGTCAACCTTCCAAAATCATCACCTCGCACGTTGCTTCTCAAAGCACAGGACCAGTAGAGCTCATGGTACCCGCTTATCACTCGGACCTTACTCAGTTTGTGCAATCCCTGACCTGAAGTAACAAAGGTACGGACACGGACCTCTGTTGTAGTGCCCTGTTGACATTTCAAAGTAGATCGCCCAATAGGCTGGTAAACATCAGACCCTGAACACATCAATTGCAGGGTCTATGGCAAAGACCTCAACCACCGTGAAATCTAGCTACTCTGGGGCCAAAGTTCATTCAACAGCCGCGTTGGAACGGAGTTGGAACATTGATGTGCTCGCCACCATCGCGTCTCCTACCTGGCGGTCCTTGGGCTCTCTCCTCCCACCCCTCTTCCGCTACCTGCTTCTGTAGTTTGGCATTACTTTTCCCCCCTTCTGCTGCACCCTCCTGCTTTCCAACACCTACTAACTTCTCGTACCTGGTGTCCTCTCACTTGCATCAAGTGGCTTTTGTAACTAATTAGTGCGCCCAATCTTGAAGGGTTGTTCCGGAAAATCAATCAGTGGTGACGGCACAGCTAGGCTTCATGCATCATGGGTAATGGGAAGGAGCGAGAGACAACAATATTATGTAATGAAGACTTGGTACCGGGGTCCTATCGGACCTACGCTTTGCCAGTTTAATCTCGGATGAGTTACTATGTGTAGTTGCCACGAGACTGACTCGCCGCGATCCGACAGGTGAACGTTAACAGGGGGTTGACATGGACATGTTGTCACATCAATCTCGTCAATTAACCATGCTCACTCATTGGCTGCGATCAATCAGTCAGATTAATCCTCCAGGGACTATCAGAGATCGATTGCAGATCAAAATTTATGGCACATCGGTTCACATATAAAACCGCTCTCTCCTTCTCTACTACTTCCTTATACATGGTATCTCCCATCCAACTCCCGCTACATCGTGAGTCTTCTCTTTCATCCGTTTCCTTCAGAAGAATGACCGACATGTTTCCAGGTCTCCTCGCCGTCAGCAGCTCCAGCTCCAGTAAGAAGGTTTGTGCTAGCTAAAGTTTCTGACTCGTCCAGGGTGTTCATCATTCTGTCTACCATGAAGCCTCCGTGATGCCCTTCCTTGCAAACCTTTTCTCCCCTCGCTCCCTTGCAAATTTGGAAAAGCATGGGCCCGACATAGCTACTCTAGACAGTGAGAGTAACAAGTCACCCGTTCCGCCACAAGTGGTCGCGAAGGAAGAGCAGGAGCAGCTTATATGCGCTACACTCAGTCGTTTCGCCCAGGTCCCAGTATCGGCTATTTTCGTGTATGTTCAACATTGCCACCATTTATCGTTTTGTTTATTTCTTCGCATTCCCTTTTCTTTAGATTGGAACCTGAATGGAACCCTACCGGTCTTACTGATGACCAGGCTTCTGAGATCCTCAAAATTCATGGACCTAACACACCGGTGGCCGAACGTCGTCTCGCCGCCCTGCGGATGTTTTGGGGGGCCATCGTCAATCCGTTCAACATCCTTTTGACCATCCTCGCCATCGTCAACGCTGCCACTGACCAGCTCCCCACCTTCGTCGTCATGATGGCAATGGTGGTAGCTTCGACCGGCTTAAGGTTCGCGCGCCCTGTCTTTGTTCAGGTTGACCTAACGTTGCCCCAGGTATTGGCAAGAATTGAAGTCCACAATTCAAGCGGTCAATTTGATCAAGTCAGTCACGACAAATACTCGCGTTCTTCGTTATCGGAGTTCCGGTCCGGAAGAGGTCGAAATCGATCAGCGGAGTGTGGTTCCAGGTGATATCATAGCCGTCACCAGTAGGTAGTACTACATTGATCCTTTTCATCATTTTAACTTTGTGTTCCATAATAGGTGGTGATGTCTTCCCTGGTGATTGTGTTCTCATTACGGCCGAGGCTATCACAATCACACAGGCCTCCCTTACGGGAGAAGTGATGCCCATCGAGAAAACCGTGCGCCTTGCTGCCCCACGTCCCGGACAAACCCTTAATTTACTGCACAATGATAATGTTTGCCTCGCGGGCACATCTGTTGTCACAGGCAATGGGCACGCGCTCGTCGTCTCGACTGGCAAGGATACCTACATGGCTTCTATCGCCAGCGAGCTCTCCAAACGACGACCAGAAAACGCTACTCAGATTGGTATCAGGAAAGTCAGTTATGTCTTGATGGCCTTCATGGGGGTGAGTCAACATTTTATCGATTTTTGTGTATTTTCTGAATTTAATTTTTCTGAGCAGGTTATGGCCCCGATTGTGCTCATCATCCAGGGTGCTGTCAGTAAGAACTGGAAAGGCGCGGTCATGTTCGCGATCGCCGTTGCAGTCGGCATTACGCCAGAAATGTTGCCGATGATTGTGGTATGTATACATTGCTTTCTGATGCTCTGACTCTCAACAACACTTGTGATGCAGACATCCAACCTTGCGCTGTCTGCTGTTCGTGTGGCGCGCAAAAAAGTCATTGTGAAGCGTTTTGATGCCATCCAGAACCTTGGCGCGGTTCAGATTCTCTGCTCAGACAAGACAGGGACGCTAACCGCTGACCTCGTGCGCATCTCAATGTCCACGACAGGCACGGGAGAACCCTCACAACTCCCCATCAAGTTGGCTTACATCAATTCCTCACTGCAAACCGGTTCTCGTAGTCCGATCGACCACGCAATCGTTGACTTCGTCGATCAAAGTGAACAGGACATCTTTACAGACATTCCCGGGGACGGCTGGATCAAGCAGGGCGAAGTTCCTTTCGATTCGTCACGCCGCCTTCTGTCGGTCTTAGTTTCGCGACCTGGTAGCGATGGCTCTGAAGGACTCTTAATTACAAAGGGCGCAGTGGACGAAGTCTTGGACCTGTGCGTGTCAACCTACAACCACCAGCCACCTTCCTCGAATGCCTCGGGACCGTTTGCTTTATCCCCCTCAATGACGTCAATTCTCACAACACACGAGCGGCAAACGATTCTTGATACTGCCCAGCGTTTGAACGAGGATGGGTTGCGTCTTGTCGCTGTGGCCTGCCGAGAACAGCTTATCAAGCCGTTTATGACTATATCCCCCTCTGACGAGAACGAACTTACTTTCATTGGATTCATCGGGCTTCTTGATCCATTGAAACCTGATGCCACCCAGGCAATCAAAGATTTGGCCGCATTGAACGTGCAGGTATGTATTTCCTCCGCGCTTTTCTTTGATACAGTTGATCTTACGATTCGCAACAGGTTCGAATCCTCACTGGTGATGCTCCTGCAGTGGCTGCAAAGGTGGCTCGCGACCTCGGGCTTATACCATCTCGCGAGCAGTCGTCGACTACGGTGAATGAAAAGGATGTGGAGGCTTCCCCCTCTTCGAACGGCGATGAAGGACTCATTCTCACTGGCGTCCAGCTTGCGGCCCTTGCAGATGATCAGGATGCCTACCAAGATGCCATTGATCGCTGCATCATTTTTGCCAAACTCTCGCCTTACCAGAAGCTTGAGGTTGTGAAAGCTCTGCGCGCGGGTCACGGTGGCAGAGCAGTCGCCTTCTTGGGAGACGGCGTCAACGATGCTCTTGCTATACGCGGCGCAGACGTCGGGATCTCGGTAGATTCAGGAACCGAAATCGCGAAAGAGGCGGCAGATGTGATCTTACTTGAGAAGAACCTGGCTGTTGTCGCTGACGGTGTGATGGAGGGGAGGATTACGTGAGTGCATCTGGGGCGAGCTTTTGCGCAGAACGCTGAATGAGACCTAGGCTCATGAACACACTGAAGTACATCAAGATGGCGACCTCTTCCAACTTCGGTAATATATTTTCGCTGTTGGGTATGTGTCCATTGCTGGTCTTTCATACCGATGCCCACTGATGCGGCATGTTTTCGAAGTTGCTTCTGCGTGGCTTCCATACCAGCCTATGATCCCCATACAGATCCTCGTCCAGAATCTGTTGTATGATTTCTCTCAGGCATCAATTCCCTGGTATGCATCACCACATCTAGTCGAACATCTGACGCCGAACAGTATATGTTAGGGATAATGTTGACCCCGAGTACTTGGTGGCCCCGAAGACATGGGGAGCGAAATCGATCATTCGTTTCATGGTTTGCATAGGTCCCTTCTCAAGCCCTTTTGATATAATCACATTCTCTATCAACTGGTGAGTAGATCCCTGCGTGATCAACAATCGTCCTTTACCGGGCGGCTCCAGGTTCCACTACGGCATTCGCACGCTCCACAACCCACGCGTTGACCTTGCACAGACGAATTGGTTTCTCGAGGGATCTTTGACGCAGGTACGATCTCATTAAAGTCGTACAAATTCGAAATACATACTGATGATAACGGGATAAGCTGTTGATTATTCACTTCTTGCGAACGGGCAAGCTTCCCTTCATCCAGTCCCGTGCATCGATCGCGGTCTTTTGCACCACCTTCGGTATCGCTGGTATTGCTATTGCGATCCCATACATACCGAAAATCAACACTGCCCTGCAGTTGACTCCGCCTGATCCTCTGTTCTACGCGTACCTGCTAGGGGTGATCGCTGGCTATGCTTTGGTCGTGCATATTGCCAAGACGCTTTATCAACTCGCGTTCAAGGAATGGCTTTAGGATACAGGTCAATAAATCGGTAGGGCTAACAGGATTGCGTCGTGGATTTTACACTGTCTATGTCATCCATCTATGCCAGTTTTTTTCGTTGATTCCAGATTTTTGTCGAATTTGAAGGATACGTTTCAATGCAATTTGTTGTTTCGTTCATCGTGGGGTGTGAATAGAACAGCTTAACAATGAGCTCAGCGCAAGCTGCAACCATGTACCATGTCTTTGAAGCTGAAACATGATATCATTCGATGATTCAGGGTACTGAAGAGTGATGATAAATTTAGGATTTTTCCCAAAATGTTCGTAAAATTTGGTGCAATTTAAAGTTTGCCCGCTACAAGTACTATGCACGCCTCCATCAGCTGAGGACCTAACGATGACGCGGATCACAGATTTTGGTCGAAAGCGCACGCATGTGGAAGCGGGCTTTGAAGAACCAATAGAGCCACAAGCTTCAACGTCCACTCTACCATCCGAAAGCCAACCACACGACAATCAAGTTCCCCCCAAAAAGAAAAGAAAGCGGACGAAAAAACCAAAAGAAAACAGTGGCGAGGGCGAAGGTAAGGATGAGGCACAGGACGCGGGTGATCCTGGAACAGCGAAAGTCGAGCCTAAGAAGAAACTGAAGGATAAACGGAAACCAAAGAGTAGATCTCTCGCTGCGAGCAGTCAAGCATGTACTGAACGCTTGTAGCTCGACCAGATGCTGCTCAACGTTCCGAATCGAGACGTCAGAAACGAATTGCGGAGAAATATGCAGACACTACTTGTTTTGCGTGTCGCCAAAAAGGGCACACTGCAAGAGACTGTCCTACCACACGTAATGAAGCCGGTGGTAGTGGTGGTGGTGGTGGTGGTGGTGGTGGTGTAGGGAGACAAAGAACTGTTGGAATATGTTATCGGTGCGTCCTCTTTCTACTTTCTCGCTTCGACAGCAGGTTAGACAGTTTCGTTAGGTGTGGTTCAAATCAGCATACTCTCTCGCGATGCAACGCCCCAGAAGACCCTCATCATCCTCTTCCATTTGCATCATGTTTTGTGTGTTCTGGTAAGGGTCACTTGGCATCATCTTGTCCACAAAACAAGGACAAGGGTGTCTATCCAAACGGAGGCTGCTGCAAACTCTGTGGCGAAACGTCTCACTTGGCCAAGGATTGTGGATTGAGAAAGCAAGGTATGTACTCTGAAACCAATCTACAGTGATCAGTCGAGTGACACTCATGCGACGCAGTTCAATCTGGAACTGCAACTTTCTTTGGGACAGGCCAAGACGCTGGTGCGGACGAAGATGACTTTCACTCATTCAAGCGGCGGAATGCAGATGTAGACAAGGATATAAAGAAAGATGAGAGGGCAAAGAAGAAGGCCGATGTAAAGTTTGCACCGTACACAGGAACGGTGAAAGCCTTTGGTACCCATGTCGGAAACTCTGCGAAGGTGAAAGTCGTTTACTTTTGAGTACTGGGTCCCCTTATAGACCGAATGTCGAGTTTCTACTGACTTTGGATTCGTATCTTGTTTTATTCGTAAGTTCAGCGCTGCAGCTACGACTTGGGTTCCCGTTCTTGCGCAGACTAGAATCTCCTAACTAGGACAAATCGTATGACGTCGTCACGAGATGTATTAGATGCGAAACAGAAGTCGGTAACTTACTCCTCAATGCACCGCATGCAAACGCCGCCCTATGAGCCCAGTACCTTGTACTATACCGAGTCCTGCTGACAGCTCTGTAAGACAGAATCCTGGCATGAATTTAGCTCCGAAATTGATCTATGGAACAGCATGGTGAGCTTTCAGCCAGCGAGCATACGACATACTGAATTGGCAAGTAGGAAGGGAGACAGAACAGCCCACCTTGTGATAAGCGCCTTCCTGCAAGGCTTCCGAGCTGTAGACACAGGTAGGTGTCCAAGTTGGTTGAATTTTGTTCGTGGTGAACAAATTGTGTAGCATGTCAGCCAAAACACTACAGGTAGGCATTGCATTGCAGTGTGCTTCGTTGGTTCATCTGATACCAGGCATGTTATAGAGAAGATCTTGTGGGAGAGGCCTTAGAGATCCTCCAAGACAAGCATAGTGTAAAGCGAGAAGATGTCTACATTCAAACAAAGTACGTCGGTTCAGTCGACGGTTTCTTCAATAGCTTGAAGTGAAGCTTTCTTAGATTCACACCCTTTGATGGTCAAGATCCAACCAAGCCTCTCCCATATAATCCCCGAGACAGTATCCCTGCCCAGATCAAAAGTTCCCTTTCCAAATCACTAATTAACTTGCATACGTCATATCTCGATGCTTATCTTCTTCACTCTCCTCTTCAAACCTTGCCCTTAACGCTAGAAGCCTGGCGTACGCTCATGGCTGCACAAGATGAGGGGACTGTGCGCGCTATCGGAATTAGCAATGTGTACGATGTTGGAGTACTGAAAGCGCTAGAAAAAGAAAGAAAGGTGCAGATCGTACAAAACAGGTGGTTTGAAGGCAATGCCTGGGACAAAGAGGTCTGGGCGTACTGTAAGGCGAATGGAATTGTCTACCAGTGCGTTCCTTTCGGATTGCAAAGTTTTTCAATGGTTGACAGTCACTCGAATAGGTCGTTCTGGACACTGACGGGTTCCCCGGCGTTACTGACACACTCCCACACCACTTCTCTTGCCGATAAGCTAGACGTCACGGCCGCGCAGGTACTCTTCAAACTTGCTCAACTAAACAACGTCGTCCCTCTAAGTGGAACTACGAGTGAACTGCATATGCAGCATGATCTCGCTGCAGAGCGCATAGTATTCAAGGAAGAGGTGCTCGATGATTATAAAAGAATTACAGATCTGATATGGAGATGAGGAAGACAGTGCATACTGTGCACCACTTACTTTAAAACGAGTATAGTACAACGATAGTTATGAAGTTATGACCATTCCCTGACACTTTTCCATGATTGCGACATTGTTACTACAGTAACTCCATGCTTACCAGGTGGTGACAATGAGGACAGGAACATAATGAAGCATATCGCAACCTACAACATCGAACAACTCAGATTCGCAGAGGGGCAGTATGAAAAAGAGCCTTCTAGAAGGACGTTTTTGCTCTAATGATCTTCTGGATGTCCTTTATCTCTACTCGACCTGTGCACCATGCTCTGAAACAGAGGGAATTTCACCATTTGAAACATTCTAACCAGACGTGATCCTCTTGCTAATTATACACAAAACCAACTGGGGAATGAGACCTCCATAGTAGCCTAAGAAGAGTCCGTACGACCTTCAAATCCGTATGCTGCTTGGCATCTGAAGAATGGTCCCCTGCGTACTTTGACGGGTACATTTTGATGACATTTCCGTACCACGTTTTGTGTCCGTACACAGGCCTTAAGCCTATCTTCTCGTCTCCCCAGTGACATTGCAGATTCCAGAAGATATCCACGACACGAGAGTTCCCTGACGCGAGTTCTGCGAGCGTTTCTTTGACTTATTATTGAAATCTTGACAATTGATCAACAGCGAACGTAGCAGTGCATCGCATTTCTCGATGATGTGTTGTGGACATCCTCCGTATTCGCGACTGCCTACTTTTGGCTATATCTTCGTAGCACTGACTTCATGGACCGGTGCTGCAGCTGGGTAAGTTCTGCTGGTACAGACTGCACCGTGCGCCCTCGTCCCTTGAATGTTTCATGCAACTCCTCGATCTTGATAGCGAATCGAACATCGCGACGCGTGAGCCCAGGAACTTTTTTGGGTTCTCCTTCTCCTTCTCCTACGCGGTCGAAGGTATACGCCGAATGCGTGTGCGAGAAAATGTCCACGGTGCTATACTCAATCACGATCCGAGCGTGATGCTAGTATGAAGGTGACGACTCAATTATCTTGGACATTTTGGGGAACTTTGATACGCGCCTTTTCTTCCCGTGAGATGTCTGCGACTCCTTGAACAAAGTCCATGACATCGTTAAAGCCCTTAAACTTGTAGTGCCTTTCCAGAGAGAGTATTTCATTTTCACCGACTCCTGTGCAGATGTGGCCGATTGTCCACTGACGCAAAACAAGTGGTTGGATATACGTTGTGATATCTTCCGGGGATATGTGGAGGGTTGGTTTAGTGGGAAATGGCGGTATTTCTGGAAGATCTTGTACTTCGAGAGGGCCCGCAGACTGTTGCTCCGGGGAGGTGTCTAAACATGTTTTCAATACATTTCTCCAAAGCCATCATGGATCTGGACAGTACCTGCTGAAGACAAAATGCTCTCTGTGGCTGGTCATAACTCATCAACAACTAACCGAAGTTAATTAATCCACTCACCGGAGTTCACTAGCGCTTCTCGGAAACCTGAAGGTGTATTCTCTTCAAGATTGTCGAGAAATGAATTTGCACAACCTCGCACACCAGGCTGCATGCGCATCCGACGCCGCGATGTTTCTACTTCGACTGTTGGTCGGTTCTTGCAGTATAAACGTGTGACATATACACATGGATGCAAGGACCTCCATGCAGCTAAGAGCGAGCGTCGACCGGGTAATTTGAGGCCCTGTATAATGAAGCCCATTTTCGAACGATGCGAATAAATAGTAACCACGTGCGGCAGGTTCGTGAAATCGTGTTGTTCAAGTGAGGACGTATTTGCTACGTCACAGTCGCTAAGCTCAAGCGCCTAAATTCGAACTCTAGGCGGAGTCTGCAGGCGCCAATGACTACAGGACAATATTCGATGCCTCAGGTAGCAGATGTGCTGTGGGATGAGATATGGAGTGTCCCCAACGATCTGCACTAAGTCAATAACGCGAACGTTTGATTTGACCCCACGTGTGCTCAGCGCTAGTATTATGTTAGTGTGCAGGTTATCTTACAACAAGTGCTCCACAAATAGCTGCACGAAATCAGCTCACATCAACGCTCAAACTAATTCCGCAACACAAGAGCATACGACGTAGCATGGCATTGGAACATATGTACCGCATATGTGTCACAAGGAAATAATGTGTCAAATGAAAATGTAAAATATCTTCAACGATGAGCGTGTGAGTGATACAGTTGACGTCGTAGCCTCGAACGCGAGGGTACAAGTCACGTTGGAAAGAAAATATGAAAGGACAAGGACAACGCTTGAATGCATTGAGGAGGCCTATGAGTATTTCATGCTTCTGTCATCGTAACATCGCCCAACGATGTGTCCGCAGCATTGGAAGGGCCGTTCTCCACTGTAGACGTCTGCATAAGATCGACCTTCTTCTCTGTAGCAGCGTTCGCATCTGCCGGCGCACCGTTGACAACGCTTTCAACCGTATTCTCATTTCCCTTGCTAGCGCCAAGAATAGCGTGCCATTTGTCGACCATTGACTTTGCTCGTGTCCGGAACTTGAATTCGTCGTCGCGGGGAACCTTATCCGTGGATAAAGCAGCAATGTGACGCATGACCTTACCGATTTTGGAAAACTGCATGAAAATTTAGGCCAGAAGCAATGAGTACACGTTGCAAACATGAACGATGGGATGCAGGACGCACTGAAAGGTATAGTATAAGATTGGGATGTTCATAATTCTCGATAGTTGAAAAAAGTTGATCAAGAGCAGGCATTTCCTGGAGAAATGTTGATTGAGGACTGATTGGCCGATAACAAATAGAACATACGTCAACTGGAGGCAACCCTTTGCTCCCCAGAAGGGCCTTCTGCAATCTGTGTCTCCATTCGCGGACTTTCTTAGCTTCGACGTCCCCTTCCAAGGCAGCTGAATGGAAAAATGAGCAAAAGGGTGTGGCGTGATGGTAGACGGCGAACATACGATCGACATCGTCCTCCTTTTCTCGTTTAGGTTTCTTAGATGGGGGAGGGGCTGCCTTAGCGCTTGATCCTGCCTCCTCGTCCTCCTCAGCTTCGGCTTCTGGCTCGCCGTCGTCCTCTGATTCAACCATTTCCTTCGATTTGGTACCATTCTTCTTCCCTCTAGATGAGGGAGCCTTTTTCTCACCTTTGGCCTTGGGTTTGGCCTTGGGCTTGGGGGGAGGCACCTCAGATTCCCGCTTTCGTTTCTTGGTTTTGGATGTTTTTTTTGTTCCATCGCCCTCATTGTCACTTTCGAGCTGATCAACAGGAGCATTGTCCTCCTGTTCTACCGCTGCCAAGTCTGCGTTTTCACGTTCCTTTTCCCATTTTGACGGGTCCAGCGCAATCCGATAGCCTGTCAGAAGGTCGCCAGATTTCTTGTGAGGTTCGTTGATGTATGCTTCGATCTCATGTTGCTTCAACTTGGAGATATCTTTCGACACCAGCCAAGCACTGGATACCAAAGTTTAACAAAGTAAAAAACAACGAGCAATACTGACATACTAGTCGCCTGCGGGGAAGAACCTAACACAGTGGAACGTAGTTTTTTTGCCTGCTGGGCGCTCCTTCGACACAGCGGAGGGGACTGTGTCAGGGTTCACGACCTGCACATGCCATTGGCACGAATGTCTTTCAAAAAAGATCAAAAGACGCGACATACCATGCCTGGCCATGGCGGAAAGCCGCGTACTTTGGCTAGTACGATATCACGTTCTGCGTAGCTAGTCTCTGGTTGCTGTGTTTTATTGCCCTTTTTGCTCATCGTCAAGGATGGCGCAGAATTGAAAGAGACAAATGTAAAGTGCGTTTGACGTTTGCGCGACAGATAAACGATGGTTGAGGAGAACACGAAGGTTCTGCTCGGCTATTTCCACATGCAGCAAAACCCCCGTTTCTTGCCACGAGGGCCCGTGCGCCCTCGTGACCGATCAATGACAAATTAGTCAATTCAAATCAGGAAAATAGTTCCGCAAAAAAATGCAGTCGAAATCGAAATACACGCAACATGCACTCGGTCAACGCAAATGCTTCGAGCAATCAGATGCATTCCATGCAATACGCCTGCAGCCATTGTGCAAGAATTCTGTTGAACCTGTTCGATCGGATAAACCTTGGAATAATTTAAAACCTTGCCTTATTTGGATCAGGATAAGTGAATGCGCCGCACTCATCATGAGGCTGAGCCAAACCGACCAGGGGAAAGCCTAGTGTCTGTAGAGCGTTCTAATACCGTCGACGACGTGCAGTAATGAATACCCGGGTCATGAGACGATAGTTGGGTTACTTGCCTCGACCCCGGAAAAATGACTTGGCGTGGACACGAGAGTGAGGCAGAACAGCAGAGTAGCGGCCATGGTTATTCGTAAGGCACTGAAAGTTATGCAGGAGCCTCGTAGAGGCCGCCGTAGGACGAATCGCTAGTACTGGTTGTGGCATGGTGATTGGATGTCGTAGATACAGGATTGTGCTCAGCGCCCCTTGCCGCGATGGCACGACTTTGATGGGGGTCACCTATCGGACTAATGCCGCGAAGTTCAACCCGGGTTCGAAATGAACGTTCGATGCACCAGATCTGTGTTCTGACCGTTCCAGTGTATTATACAGCAGCTGCGCATTTGGGACGAAAGAAGCCAGCGGATATGATGGCAGAAGTAACAAGAGAACAAAGCAGCAAAATATTTTTGAAAATCTGGAAACAACTTCCACACCTACTACGTAGTAATTACATGAGAATCTTTGCAACAATCTTATAGTATTCCTGCAGTCTAAAGCAAAGCAAGCGTCGAACCAAGATACGGCGTTACAAAGCTCGTACATACTTTGTTAGTTGCACTCAGACTAACTTTTGATTAGCATGGGCTAAACGTTACAGCGTAACACGATCAGACGCATGGCACTGCATGCTGGCGTCCACATTCTGCCTCTTACTAGTCGCGTGGTTTAATAATCACGCATCATTTAAATAACGACTCTGCGATCGATCTGACTTAGTTAACGCCTCAAGAAATCTGCCCCGACATCATTCCGCAAAAGTATCATATAGTAGCCTGCATGTGCAGTTCGACATCGGTGAGGCCAGATACACGTTCAACAACATAACTTATGTAAAGCAGAATTAGGCTTAGCTATAAGATTCGTGCCATAGCCAAACCAATGCCATTCCGTATGAACAAGGTGCTATCAGAACAATCGAAGCATTCTGTGTGATACTCGGAAATATGTACGTTAGACCCGGGCGTAGGTCTGGTATATCCCTGAGTGTATATGAAGAAAAAGACGAGTCTATGGAGTACCGGCGTCAAGATAGCACAGAGCTTGGGACACGAGGCTCGATGCCTACCCCGAGAAATGGAAGGAAATATAAGTAGCTCATGAAGTTCTCACGGTACCTCGGTCAGGGTAACCGAGTACCAAGATTCTCTTGACGCTCTCTTTCCAATGTTTGAACCAATTCGGGGAGGCACTCGAGGAGGCCAGGCAGAGTTCAAGTGGACAGATGTCTCCGCAGACAAAGACAGAGAGGTTAGTCGACTGTTACAAGTTGTATTCTAGTGATATTAATTGTCAAGTAGAACTATCTGGGTCACAGCATCAATGCCCCAACCGGGAGGTGGCAGAAGAATAAAGATGTTCACTGGTATAATAGAGATGCCAAGGATGACTCTGAGAGGGAAGAAGAGATAAGAAAGATCAAGGAAGCGGAAGCAGAGGCGCTTGCTGCAGCACTGTAAGTATTGTCCTTAACATGTCAGTCTGGTATTGAACGACTTTCTCAGTGGGTTTGCCGCAGCACCATCAGGTAGCATTCCTGCTGTAAAAGCACCCTCAAGCGTTCAATCAGGACCGGCGCATACCCTTGCTGTAGATGGTGGACAGCATCCTTTAGAGAAAGAGGAAAAGCGCCGTAAGAAAGCCGAACGGAAGGAACAAAAAAAAGCTCGCAAAGAGGCACATCGAGAGTCTCGCCATGCCGATTACGAACAACGTTCCCGTAGAGAACGGACCCGTTCGCGCTCACCTAAACCCAGCAAAGACGGTGATCACGGCAGGCATCGTCGCCCGCGGCGCAGTCGTTCGCCTCTACCAGCTAATCGCTCGCCTCATGCTCCTCGGCATGTGAAGGACTACGATGAAGTTGCACGCGAAAGAGAACGCGGAGAAGACCGGCGGCGATGGGACTTTAATCAAAGGGACAGACTGAGTACCCGTCATGAACGAGATTAACTCGGCTGAGTCTTCTTCAAGAAATATGTCATGCCACCGCAGCAGACTGCTAGTATGTTCATATATTACGCACTTAGAACCTCGCAATGCCTCTTCCCCGCACTAACTCATCAATTTTCGCCTTCTCGGGGAAGAATCATGGCACAGGCCACTAATGACCGCACAATTTTGGAACCTATGTGCCGTAACGAAAGATACGTTTGAAACTTCTAGGTATTGTCAACTGCAGTACGTTCTGAGATTGACCAAGTTTGGGCTGGACGCTGATACATGCGCATTGGGGCCACCATTGCAGCATGGCACTGTCAATCGGGGATCAAAGGTGTGAAGATCCATGAAATTCTTGATGACGAATTGGCGTGCATGTCGGTCATACCTGAGATTCTTGGCTACAGATCTGTATTCAATTTCGAGATATCCCCCATGCGATAATCACACCGTATCACTCGTTCCGGTTGATGCCTCACCTGACTCTGCCTCGTTGCTCGTCCCAGCGCCTGACAAACATGTTGGTACTAGAGCCAAAACGCGTTAGGTCTGTGCTATTTCCTATGAAACAAGGATTAGGTAAGACCACGCCGGTCGCATGATTTCAGGTTCATCGACCATGAACGAACTGGACCTGATGAAATTTAGGCTTCATCTCTATTGACCCTTGAGATCTCTCAGAGTCTGTCCTCCTTGGTACGTCATGACAGGTACGAACATTATTAATTTCAATCGTCAGGTCCTCGCGAATAGTGTGCATGACGAACACCTTGCTTGATCTTTGATCTACGCTGCCTCTTTCGCATGTCTTCCACTCCTTCTGGCTCTATCGGTGAGTCCGAGGTCGCGCGCCCGAACTCAACGTGCCCATCTCATAAATTTCCCGCTTGACGTCTTTTTTATATATATCTCGGCTATATGCCAAGTGCGAATCTCTCCTATCTACCGCCCGGATACCATGACGGTCTCCTGACATGTCATGGCTGCCGAAATAGGCTCTTGGCTTGCCATGTCTAACTTGCAGAAATACCTGGGGTGCAGCTGGATTCCTCCTTCATCATCCCCTCGCTGAAACCTTTCACACTATCTGTTCTTCAATCCTCATCATGACAAGCTATGGAATGCCATACCTCTTGGAGGATAAGACGGGCAAGCTGACAGGATCACACTTCGTGGACATCAATGATCGTTTACGCTTGACACTTCGGTGCACCACTCGGGAAGCTACACACACAACATACACAATCTACAACACAACAGTAGGGACGGATCCAGTGGTGACCCTAAACTTCGGCTCCAGCAACTCCCTCGGAACAATAACCTTTGGGTCAGGGCCGCAGGTACCCATGAACAGCTTCCTGGAACCATCTCCGAATGAGAAGTAAGTCTAGACCACGGTGCTTTTTTTCCGAGCTTATCTATTATCCAGCGCAAAGTCGAGGAAGTTCATTGGGTCCGATGGCCAGCAGTACAGATGGTGTTGGCGAACCACACAGAGCGAAGAGTGGACGGTACGTACTAATTCCCACGTGCGTTTTCAAATCTCATGCATAATTCTTAGTGCACAAACACAAGCAATCAGCAAGTTGCGTCTTATTCGTTGAAAGTACCCGGAGAGCCAGAATACGACCATTCCTCTGGGTGCGTGCTTACCATCGAGGAGGCGTATCCGCATCTCGCAGTCGGTATGCACATTTTTAAATTACCTGGCGGTACAACACTGATCTGGGTGTGCAGAGATGTTGGCGTCCTTGACAATAATGAGGCATATAGTCACCCATAACCTTTGATGTTCTTTGGTGACCAGCGCCTGGAATTTGGAGCTGTACTACTACATTCGTATGTTATTATTGTATATTCTAGCATATCATCTTGAATTGTGCATATTATCTTGGATGACTATCTCTTAGTCATCACGGACCCTATACATACTTGACTTTATAATGTTTCTGTCATGTCTGTTTACACCTCAGCGGCTTGCTGAGGTATGTTTCTATTGCACGCTAGCTTTGTCTTAGTTCGTCTCTTCTCCTTAGTTATCATCAATATCAACGGTTTCTTCTCAAACGCCGAGACTTTCTATAAGTTCAACTCACAATATATTATAGTAATTGTACCATGTTCTCGAGGGGGGAATACAATGTGTGAGACAAGTTGTCGCAAAGAAGTCTGCAGCAATATGCATTAAAACTCCGCCCGCACCAAAATGGTACGGCGCACCCCTATAACACGCTTTAGGAGCGTCGTGTCACAGGCAGTTCGTTGGCAGAATCTTATGGGTAGCACGGCAGGGGTCGCACAATCAACTCCACAGTCCGTAGAAGCCAGACTCACGAGTACGCCCAATCCTCTTTTGTCCTCTTTCATAAGTATAATATTAACGCACCAACAGGATCTACACCGACTTGAACTCTGGGCGTTATTTCTGCCATCGGTCCTTCGAACGGCGACCGATTCTACTTGGGAAACGCCGCTCGACAACGATCTCGCCGGTCCGGAATCTATATGCGGATCGAAACAGCATTCGTGATACTGGAGCGGTGGGACAATTGCTGGCCGACGGAACGAGGTATGGTAATTTGAGGATGATATTGTTTTTTTTTGAATTTGAGTGTGTTAACCAAGGACTTGTGCCACTTAATCTGTTGACGACGAAATCGCAGTGGTGGACTCGCTCCCCGCCATGATGGACAGTTTTGGGATGTGGATATCCTTATATTGTTCATGGCACAGTTCCGCTAGCGGAATTGACCTCAAGCAACTCTACTCCTACATCCGCCGCACAAGTCCGCCACCGCAACGACGTCTTTGAGTAATCTGGGCAGAGAGTTGGGCTTGCATATGCAAGAATGGATATCGCCGATGAATTGACGAAGCTTCAAATTCAGTGGAAGAGGATGCGGACGATTATTCATGTACGAACCGAAGCTAGCAGAAGGATGGTGAAGACCGGGAAGTATCTGAGCTTGTCGTGAGAGAATGCATGTATTGCAAGTCAGAGAGTGAAATACATGAAGTGAATTCATAGCTTGTTGAATTATAGAGAAGTAGGACAACGGGCGATTGCGAGGCGATACGATCGATAAGGGTGGCTGGAATATATCAGGACAAATGCACGCAGATGGCTAAAATATGAAATGTGCCGCGAGGTTGTTGGAAAGGTCCGAGCGGTAGAGCAAGTCAATGCCAGATAAGATCTATGGTCGTAACTGAATTGTTCATACATGACCAAATAATTTGACTTACCTCCGAGTCGGTACGAACCTTGTAGGTCCCAATATATCACTCCATAAAGAAATGAGATATTTGTGCGCTGGACCAAGTCCTGGCGGTGTTCTTTTGTTACTTGGGATGATGAATATACCCGCCAATCATATCGACTCACTAGTACGCTTTTACTTTGTGCATTTCTTCGAGGTTCTGGCTCCATCAAATCAAAATGAGTTTGCGTCCAACGTATAGCCGGGAAGGTTGCTTCCGAACGAATGAAAAATCAGTTTCTTGTTATCATATTATCTCGTACTCCAAGTCGTCATGCCACAAAACCATAAGATGACAACCGAGAAGCGTGCATGTAATGCGGAGAGGACAATAGCGATCGATCATATGGTGTTTCTCAATGGTGCAACAGCCTTCCGTAAATAGAAGCACGCCCAGTTGTTGTTCGAGATAATGAGAAAAACCCGACTCGTTTGGCAACTGTGCAATAAGTGCAAGCTATATGAAATTCGGATTCCTTGTGGAGTTAGCTTTGTTCGCGATGTGCGAGGAGCTAGGCCAGTATCGTGTTTGACGTCGCCAAAAGTCGTGATAAGGAACCATCGTCATTCTGCATTTTCCGGCTGTGCCAGTGAAGGGGGGGGACTGCCGATCAGTCACAAGTGCATATGGTTGGTTCAGATCATATACACCACGGTATGTCCCGTCCACGTTCGTTGAACCAACTAAGGTTACTGTGTTTCATCTATTACAAATGTATCAGCGCGCTCATGAATCATAACCCCATAGACTTACCGCGCAAAAATTTCCCCGGTGAATATCGGAAGCATAGTTAAGTTTCAGTGGGTGTCCCTGATGAGTTGAGTCTTGAGATGAGTTCTTCTTTCTTTTCCACCCTCAACTAAATGGTTGAGGATCTAATGGACATAACTCTAAAACTGGTTTCGGCATCCTGCGGAGTTCACGGTGGACGCGCGCGCTGCCACGCTCATCTGGAATCGTGAGCACAAAGCGTCATATCTAGCACGGATAGCAGCTCTGCGGCAAGAGCCGTGGCAACAAACTTTGTTGGGAAAATCGTGGGGATGCCAGGGCGCGGAATCCTGTATCTCCATACACAAACTCAAAAGTACTCACGTGTTATGGTTCAGTGTTTACGCGTTCACGTTCAGGAATGAACTTAAGTTAGAGCGAGTGATCTTCGATGTCGCAATGATCCGCGAAGTCTGGGCCTGCGAGATTTTTCCTGTGAAGCTTCAGGCCTTCAGGGCTGGCTGCCGTTCCCTTAACAGCCCGTAACACCTGTAGATCGCGTCATTTTAAAGTTCATCGTCGGAGCACCTAGCAAATAACGCACCTGAGTTGACTCTTAATCTCATACGTATGGGCGCCGATGAGAATGAAAACCCGTTCACCGCCTGCCTTACCTTGCGGATGAACCCTTTTACAATAAAACCTCAAATTGCAACAAATGGATGTCTAAAAACTTATCTTTTCTCAAGGGATGTCGTCTACTTGAGCCATTGCGACCCTGCCCTGATTTTCTTGTGGATCACCTGCGGTCAGCACCGTGCCCACCGTCAACTGCCCAAGTAATGTTGAGGGTTTAGAGCGCAGCGCGGGGGACACATGAATTCCAAGATTAAGACGCCCATACCAAGGCATTGCGCCGCCAAAGATAAATATAGGGAACTCATGGTCCCATCTGTGCCGTTATTTCAGTGTGTTGTTCAATTATTCAAACAAAGATAGCTGTGTGGCTCTCATCCTAGGCTCCGATGAAAACATTGACT